CCTCATTCAGGAGGAAATTAAGAGGAGATTGAGCTCAGGTAATGCTTGCTACCATTCAGTCCAGGACCTTTTGTCTTCTCGTCTGCTGTCTAAACCATAAAAATCAGCATACATAAAACCACAATTTTGCCTGTATGGGTGTGAAACTTGGTCTCTGACATTAAGGAAGGAACATAGACTGAGGGTGTTGAGAGTATTTAGACCGAAGAGAGATGAAGTGACAGGAGGTTGGAGAAAACTGAATAATAAGGAGCTTCATAACTTGTACTCTTCTCCAAGTATACTTAGAATGATCAAGTCAAGGGGGGTGAGATGGATAAGACATGTAGCACGAATGGAGGAGAAGAGGAATGCATATAGGATATTGATGGGAAAGCCAGAAGGAAAGAGACCACTGGGAAGACCAAGGCCTAGGTGGTTGGACACTATTAAAATGAATCTTAGAGAAATAGGATGGGATGGTATGGATTTGATCGGTCTGGCTCAGGATAGGGACCAGTGGAGGGCTCTTATATACACGGTAATGAACCTTCGGGTTCCATAAAATGCTGAAGTTCTTGAGTTGCTGCACAATTGGCGGCTTCTCATGAAGGTTTCACCTCCGTAAGTAAGTAAGTAAGTAAGTAAGTGAGATGCAGAAAAGGAATGCGTTATTGAGGCATATCTAAATTTCGTCCCAACATTGGTGCCGCACCTGTTCAATCTGCCAGTCATGGAGTGCTCCAGTGTAATGCAATGATCGGGTAATAAAATTCAGCAGAGGATAGAGGACAGGTTTTCTGGTACTGCCATTGAAAACATTTTAAACTGTTTGAATCCACCCTTGCAGAAATGTGCCAGGGATGATTCTTTTAATTTCTATTGTTGCACAAGTACATTTCTAAGAATATTGAGTTATCAAATGTAAATCCTGTCCATTTTCTTTTACCATTAAATTTAAACACTAAACTGTCTTTCAGACGTTTGCAAATCATTGTAAAAGAATTTAATCTCGATTTTGTAAATGAAGACAGCCTGTATGAAGGGTGTTCTAATGCAGAAAGTGCTGTGAATGCGGTGAAAACAGGAAGTATAGAACAAAGTTGGCTCAATATTTTCAGTGATTTAAGAAACGAAGAAATTGATGTGCCAAACCATAATAAGATCTGAGGCTTTGTTTTAAACATCTCAGACTCGAGTGCCCATACTGAAAGAGTTGTCCCCCCCCCCACCGATGGACTGAACAGAGAAATCAAAGCATCTTAGAACTGATGAAGTCAGAGCTGATTGTAACAATTAATTATGACTGTAGTTGTAAAGAGTTTTTAAATTTGCACAAGAACATAAAAATGCTTAGTTCTGCAGCAACAGTGGACAAATACATGCAAAATTTTTAAATTGATATTCTATACTGTGACCTGTATATTATGTACAATGTGAATTAATTGCTTTATTTAATATTATACATTCCTTGAACATATGCTGGAGTGGTATTTCCACTTTACGAAACTTACAGTCCGACTTTTTTGTATTGAATCGCCGTTTGATGGCTCTCCCTCCAAGGGAGCGCCTAGCGACCTGGAAATTCTACTTTTGTGTCCCTTAATTGATTTACCAGTCAACACAGCGCGCTTTGAAACGCGCGTTTATTGTGAAATGGCTTCCGTTCTCTGCTGTTCATCATACTCGGAAGGAATCAATAGAACAGCCCCGGATGTAATGCGCATTTATATCGTGTCTGGCTTAATGTAGGCCTCTTCCGCGTAAATTGCTATTCAGCGCAATCCTGAAGGAAGCACGTGGTTTGCATTTCTATTTTCCAAACATGAAACTTTCATCATGGTCTACAATGGAGACGTCATTGAAACTGGGCGCATATGCAGTTGTTTCAAGGGTTCTAAAACTAAGGCTGCAACGTTGCTGTTTACAAATTCAGGTAGGCCTATATTTTGTAAGCAACCAAAAGCTCTGCTATTATAAAATTTGGCGCACGTGCAGCTGACGAATCTGTATCCCTGTCGAATCTTTAGTCTGCTTTCCGTATTAAAAAAAAATAAAAGTAGGCTTATGAGATCACCGTACTGTCTGTGTGTCTGTATATGTACTCCCTATTGTTGCTAGACAACGTCTCGGTAAACGTTCCCGCGGCAACGAATCGTTTGGCCTTTTAGTGAAGACGCAGCACGTGTTCCTTGAGGTAGGAACTGAATTTTGAAATATTTATCTTTTACGTAATTTGATCATCTAGAAAAGAAAGCATTAAATGCGCCTTTAATACTAGGTCACTGTAGAGGAAGTTCAGCAGGTGCAGACAGCCCTCAACTACACATGAACCGGGTTTCAAAACGAGACAGCTTGTGGCTGCTTGGAGAAATGCATCTGAGTTTGATAAAATTAGCTTTGCAGTGATGGGACATACAGTATAACCTCCCATTGATGATGGCGACTGACTGTACACTGGAGGACCGGGAGTCGATTCAAAGCAGTGGCAATAAAGATTTTTTTAGTTCCCTTTTACAGACGTGTACATATCCTATGAAGTATAGACCCATTTCCAAGTAAGAGCTGTGTAAACATAAGACAGCACAATAGCTGTTGCTAGGGAACACTTCTATTGACACGCTGTTTCCCTGACCACGAGAGAACAGGCAATAATGGAAGAGACGTTTTCTGTTCGGTCCGTGCCGGGGCTATATAGAGAACTAGTAGTTCAGTGGTTGACCGTGGAGGCGGGGTCGAATACCTCCACCGTGTCCCAGCGAGTAGTAGGAGGCGATGAAAAGGGAAGTCTCGAATCTGAGACAGTAAAATATGGTCGCGAGTCCCAAGGGACTCGGACCCGAGAAAGACTGCGCTGGCAAGGGCCAGCAGCATGTACAGAGGACAGACCCGTCCTCTCGTCAGAGAGGGCGCCCCAAAAGAACAAGACCGTAACTCAATAAATATCTGGTCTTGAGCCCCAGGAGGGTGCTCGACACCAAGACTTACTGACTGACTGACTGACTGACTGACTGGTCGTCAGTCGCAATGTGACTTTGACTTTGACTTTGACCGTCAGTTGCAATGTGACTTTGACTTTGACTTGGTTGGTCGATACGGCGGGGCCGAATATCTCCACCGTGACCATGCAAGTCGTAGGAAGCGACGAAAATGGAAGTCTCAATTCTGAGGCAGTAAAATATGGTCGCGAGTCCCTAGGGACTCGGACCCGAGAAAGACTGCGCTGGCAAGGATCAGCAGCATGTACAAAAGACAGACCCGTCCTCGTCAGAGAGGGCGTCCCACAAAAACAAGACCGTAACTCTCAAACAGTAATAAATATCTGGTCATAAGCCCCAGATGGGGCTCGACACCAACACCTGACAGGGCCAAGCATGTTCGTAACAGACAAACTCATCCTCTCGTCAGAGGGGATGTTACATAAGCACTATGACTGCAGTGGTTCAGTTGAAAAAATCTCTGGTCGTGAACCTCAAGGGGTTGGCGCCAAGACGAACCGATTGGCGGTAAACCGCCGGTCGTAAAGTAACTTTAACCCTGACTTTGAGTAGTTGGTTGAGTCAGTTGATAGTTGCAGCTGTGGAAGTGAGAATCAGGCAGCTAAGGCCTGGAGCAGTACGGGAAGCCAGAGGAAGGGGAACTTTGGCCTTTGGAAGCCGCTGCCAAGCAGCGGCTAGTGAAGATTGATAGGGCCTCATGTGTGCTGTAGTTACGTTCTGTAAGTGTCCAATAAATCCGATTGCCAATCTAAACCCCGTCTATAGTCAATCACGTGTATATATATATGTGTGTGTGTGTGTGTGTGTGATTTGGGATAGATGAATACAGTGTGTACAGGAAGAACGACTGGGGTTCCATACGCGGGAGATATCCCTCATATCGCCACCGTGTCAGGACCGGCTCTGGGGTCAACCCAACCTCCTTTCCAGTGTGATCACTGACCTGTATCTGGTCCTAAAGACAAGATAGTGCGTAGAGCCATACCTCTTGTCCGCCATATGTCGTTAAGTGTAGTGGTTAAGGAATCGGACAAATTTTATCTCATGGACGTGTACTCAGCCTCACAATTTATTTTGGTTCAATCTCGAAACTAAGGACAGAACGTAATATTCAGACTGTCTGGCTGTCGGAGGCCCGCTTTTGAGATCCATTTATTCGAGCACGGATCACACCGGAGGAGGCGCTCTCGGTTTGTTGTCGAGGTGAGGCAGATGACGCTGAAAGGGTTATTCTGGTTACTATGCAACGGAGGCACCTGTAACTCCTTTACGAGCAATATCTGTGAAAAACATTTGAAGTCTCGTTCGCTGAATGCCGTGTTTGTCTTATCACAGTACACAACCGAGTTCTGAAAGGTTTATTTTGGAGAGAAAATGCTTTAGCGCATCAGCGGTATGGAATTGATTGAATAGTACGTAAATGTAGAATAAACAAGTGTCAGTGTGTTATGTTGACATTGAAGAGTTTTAACTTACTAATTCAGTTTTTCTGGAAGTGTCTTGGAAGGAAAGATTACATTTGATGTCATCTGCAATTATACTGAGTCTTCTGTTTCGGAAGAATCGAAATCATTCTGCTGCAGGGGCCATGCAAAGTGTGACGAGAGAGTGGAACAATGCAGCAAGGGTTTGTTTGGAGGGCGGCGTTCTAGAATTTGGGAGAATGTTGAACGGAAAAAATCTGTTAGAAATCCGCTGACGTTCTCTCCGCGCATTTGCCTGCAGAGGTCGTGAAAAACTACAAAACCCGCAATTAATATGGGCGATCTTCGGGTGAAGATTCAGAGCTAGGACTTCCTGAATAGGAAATAACCTAACCACTCGAATGCGACGTTCGGCCAGAATTTGTTTCCTCCCGATGTGTGCAGAGGCTGCAGACTGTTTGGAACCATTATGAGTCTGCTTTGTGTCTTCGTTTTGCGTGTAGTGCAGCAGTTCCAGTCGTGAGCACACTTCATGCCCACGAAGTGAATGCTGCCGTTAGCATTCACTGAGTGAGGATCCCGTTCTGCGTGTTCGCAGATCGTGTGGCCGACTACTCAGACGACGAGGAGGAGTTCAGTAGTAACGACGAAGGTGAGGCGGAGGGTTCCGATTCCGAGCCAATGCCAGAGGACGCGATGGGCAGACGAGCGCGCAAGACGTCGAGGGCGAAGATACCCGCAAATGCCAGAGTAAGGTTCTTCTTTCTTATCCTACCTCTCTTCAAATCGACTTTCTCTCACCAAAAACAGAAGAGTTTGTTGCCGTTTCAATGTAGCAGTGCTGAAGTTATGACGCTTTCATGCAAAAGGCGTCGTCTTCTTTGATATGGATGTAGAGACCAGTGGCTGGGACCATTGATACGAGAGACCTTGAACAATCCTTGCGGATGGTAGGAAATCATTCACAGCAAACTAGCAGTCAACTGGCCCATCCATTCAGAACTAATTCCGCAATGACGACTCCTTCGTACATTTTGTAGCGAGCAAATTGGCTCACATGGGAACGTTTCTCGCGTATTTGAGAAGTGCCTGGTTCGAATCTCAACCGGAACTGTTCTGATTGAGCTCTTTCGTGGTTTTCAGTCAATTGAAGGAAGTGACTGGCTAGTCAGCATTATTGAATAAACCATAAATAAACGAAACACATATGGTAGGAATCTTTGGACAGGGGATCGGTTCATCAGTGGAGGCTGGGGACAAATGTACCAACTCCAGCAGGACTGAACGTGTTGCAGTGGTTGCCTGGGTCTAGACCAGCAGGAATGACACCCTCTCCTGGCTTAGTTGTACATGTTTTGCCGTGTTTGCATGTGTAGGTGGGGATTATGTGATTGGCTGCTTCCCAGAGGGGCATAGCATTGTGAATGTGAGGATTAGTAGGCTCCTGGCATTGTTTGGAGATCACGTTAAGCTATGGATCCTCTGTGCTGGAACTTGCTATCACCCTTTCATTGCGAGTCTATGAAATTCATCCTACTAGGTCTCCCACTTTAACTATGAATTAATTTGTTTCTACCGTAATGTCAACTACGAATATAATGGGGGAATTGCTGAGATATCAAAGAAGGAATAGAGATGGTAGTGTACCATGATAAAACTATAATCAAAGCACTAACCTAACCTCACCCAGACTGTGCATCATATATACAAGCATTTTTGGACATATAATTTTACCCCGTCTTCCCGCCTAACCATACTCACACTGACAGGCGCTGATGTTGCAAAAGTAATGCACCATATTATCAGAGCAAGAACATCGTAAGTGTCCTTCACAGTATTCTGAATGTTAGCCCCAAAAAGGTTAAAAAGACCATAACTGGCTTATATCCACAACCAAGATGCATTTTAATATTATCCAGCCATCTGAAGCTCTTTTTCCCAGGTGCTCTCTTTGCATGTGCATTCCAGGCAACACCTTTTCTAGGTCCATGGTTTGAATCGTTGCTCTGCTTAAGAATTCTGTGGGTTTCCTCAGTTCTCCCACGCAAATTTTGAGATACATCCTATTAACAGGCTATAAATACCTCCCCTTTTTTCTTTCCAAACCAACCATCCCGCCATCTTCCCAATCAGTGCTACATAACCTCTGCATTTCAGATAGTTTCATTTGGATGCCTATGACTAACTGAACAGATCTTTCTGTTCAGTTGATTCAGGTTTTCTAACTAAGATTTCCATTGCATTTCTTGTTTCTATGCCAGTACCATGCACATTGCCCAATATATTGTATTCTGCATTTCTTCTTCAAGCACTGTTTCTGTGGGTTGATGGTTGAGAAGTCTTGCATTGCCTCTTTCTTCACACAGTCTTTCCTATTCAGTATGTTTGCAGCTCTTTCCTCACTTTTTGATGACTCCCCTGCAGTACCTTGCTAAGCCATCTTGTTCTGGGTCTTACCATAATTTTCTTCCCTCCTAGATTTAATCATCTTAATGACACTAAGTTTAAGAACATGTGTCGGCTTTATTGAAATTCAGTTACAGTATCATCACCAGTTGTATGGTGATCATCCACTGATGATAACATAATAAAGTTTTAATGAAGTCAGGCGTAATCACTACCAAACTCAGTTTGAAGCTGCCCATACCTTCTAATGACATATGTGAAATTCTGTTAACAGCAACGTAATTTGAAACAGAAGTTCATTGCATTGTTGAAGAGGTTCCGTGTCAGCGAAGATCTGCAGGGACTCGACAATGATCAGGAAGCTATTGGGCAGCAGCTATCAGGTATGTGCACTGTTTATGTCACTGGAAACAAGAGGAAGGTATCTGAGACACAGCTGTGTTGTACATCATCTTTTGTCATTATATTGATTCTAATTTTGGTGATTCCGTATTCCGTATTGAGGGGGTGGGTTTCCCCATGCACTTAGACCGGTTAGTGGTCCATTGTGCGTCCCCCTTTAATTTCTGCTGTCTCCATACCCTACCGGTACTGGTGCTTACTATCAGCCCCTTTCTGCCAGCAAGGTTCCAACCTCCTCTGGCAGTGGTATCTAATAGTTAGTCCCTTTCTGTCAGAGAGGTCCCCCCTCCTCTGGCAGTGGTACCTAATACTTCCCCCATCTACCGGAGGAATTGGAAACTACTTGGGCGGGAAATGTTGCCTAATTTTGCTCAGAGGTCTCCTAGGGACATGAGGTTCTTTTACGTGCCGTAAATCTACGACACGGGACCCACGGCTTAAAGTCCCTCCCGGAGGACTTGTTCCCTGAATTTTTCCGCCCTTAAAAATTCCACGACCTCCGCCGGGTTTTTGAACCCTCGTACTACGAGTCATGAGGTGGGAACGTTACCTCTAGACTACGGAGGCCGCTTAATTTTGGTGATAGTGTGATTGTTGTGATCAAACCTGGGAGCATTTTAATGATAAACCTGTGGGTTCGTGGTTAGATCACTTGTACCATGCTCAAAAGTATTTTCAGCTCTCTTAGAGCCACCTATTTCCGAAGAAAACCACGGTTTTATTTTTGTGGGTATGTCTGTGTGCATGTATGCCCTGCATATTTGTCTTTCTTCATCTTCATATGTGAACACTTTGTCATGAAAGTGTAGGGGGCATGGAGGTGAAACTTGAGCACTACATGGAGATGAGTATCTGGCTGTGTGCTCCAGACACCTTTATCCATGGCGAGAGAGTCCCTAACTCCAGTTAGGAAAATCTGAGTGCTTCTCTGTATGTGGTGAAAAAAGATCCATACAATGTACACTGTCCAGACATCAAACCTGTCTGTACAGTTCATGTCTTTACTTAATACATAGTGTGTCCATACACCCCTCCCCCGCAACTCCCACCCCATTCTCCAGCGTGTGATCGTAACATGTACTGGGGCCGCGTCATAGCTCAAGGGGTTAGTCGCTGGCTTCCCACCGCGGCGGCCTGGGTTCGATCCCGGGGTCTGGTCAAATGGGATTTGTGGGGGACAAAGTGGCGCTGGCGCAGGTTTTCTCCGAGTACTTCGGTTTCCCCTGCCAGTCTTCATTCCACCAATTGCTCCACAATCACCCTCACCTATCATCTGGGGCTGGTACAATAGGCCAGAAGTGGCCGCAGTACAAGGGACTTAGTCCCACCCCACTAGCAGTAAAAAAAACATGCACTAGAAGGTACAATGTTATCAACTGAACATATCTTAATTAGTGTGAGAAGGTAAGGAAAACAATGATTTTGACCAGTTTTCTCTTTGAGTGTCACTTAACACGATCTGCCCCAATATAACCTAACTTAATGAGGAAAAATTGAATTATATCATTATGCTGCATCTGAACTATCCCTGACAATGCATCATCATCAGATAAAGCTGTATATTATTATGTCGTCATTAGAAATCTACTAGATTCCGTTTTCCACATAACTAGAAAAGCAGATCACCATACCAGAGCTCTCACTGAACAGAGGACTTATCTTCCATAATGTTTAGTCTCAAGGTGTGACGTACCCTCAGTGCTTTTCATTGCATGGCTCTGTATTCAAATTCATAACGATCACTCATATTTGACTACTATAAAATTATTTGGTGTTGTTTTAATAAACATGACACCCATGTTAACTTCCTTGTGCTCCTGAAAAATTCCCGGACTAGGTCAAAAAAGAAAATCTGGCTTAAGTTACTCAAATTTGACTGCCCTCTCCTTCAAAATAGTCTCCTTGGGAACGTATACACCGATTCCATTGTTTTCCCCCCACGCCTCAAAAGCACTGTGGAAGCCATTTTCCTCAATGCTGTCAAGTACCGCTTGCGGTCCCCTTTGGATGTCAAACTCTGTTTGAGAACGCCGTCCCTTCAGTTTCATTTTCAGTTTGGGAAACAAAGGGAATCAGTATGGAGGATCGGGAACGATAACCATGTTGCTGATAATCACAAACTTTGTGGTTTTTAGGGACGTGTGGGCGGGCGCGTTGTGGTGATGAAGGAGCCAGTTGTGGTTGCGCCAAAGTTACGGTTTTTTCGTCTCACATTTTCTCTCAAGCGTCTAAAAACATCACAGCATAAGTCAGAGTTGACCGTAGTGTTAGGGGGAACATAGCGGCCTCTGTAGTCTAGGGGTAACATTCCCACCTCATGACTCAAGGTACGCGGGTTCAAACCCGGCGGAAGTCGTGGAATTTTTAAGGGCGGAAAAATTCAGGGAACAAGTCTTCCGGGAGGGACTTTAAGCAGTGTGTCCCGTGTCGTAGATTTACGGCACGTGAAAGATCCCAATGTCTCTAGGAGGCCTCTGAGCAAAATCAGGCAAAGTTTCCCGACCAAGTAGTTTCAAATTCCTCCGGTAGATGGCGAAGTATCGGGACCACTGCCAGAGAGGCCGACCTCGCTGGCAGAACCTGGCTGATAGCGAGCACCAGTACTGGAAGGGCATGGCGACAGTAGAAATTAAAGGGGGACGCACAGTAGATTAACAAATAGTCGCAGTGCATTTGGAAACCCGCCCCCTCCAATAATAACAACAATAACAATAGGGGGAACATTCTCTTGGTGAATTCACGCAAACAAATAAACAATGAGCATGTTCTTTGTTGAACTTTGGACATGCCGCGCCTTTTTTGCTCTTGGTGATTGTGGGCTCTTCCACTGTGACGATTGTTGCTTTGTTTCTGGATCATAACCGTAAATCCAACTTTCGTCACCCATTATAACCTTAGAGATACTCATTAACGTTTGGTCCCCGTTAGCTCAAGACACGTTTACACGTCGCTGCTTTGATCATCTGTCAAGAGTCGGGGAAGAAACTTCGCGGCAGTGCGGTGCATATTCAAATTTTCTGTTAAGATCCGCTGGCAAACTCCGTAACTGACCCCAGCGTGTCTGCAAGCTCATGGATTGTTCGGCGACCGTCTACGTGGATGAGTTCTCGAATGTTTTCAACATTTTCTATCGTTTTGCTGGTGCTTGGTCGCCATGAACGTTCGTCGTCTTCAACTGACATTCGGCCGGCTCTGAAACGTGAATGTCATTCAAAAACCGCTTTCCTGCTTAAAGAATGTTCTCCAAAAGCCTCCCGGAGCATATCAAGAGTTTCGGTAGCGGATTTACCGAGCTTCGCACAAAACTTCATGCAGACACGTTGCTCGATTTTGGTATCCATTGCAGGCAGAACGAAACCCGAAATGGCAAAAGGATTCATGTAAAAACTGCGTGTTTACAGCGCGGTTTCACGTTGCAGAGTGATGCAATAGGCTTGCGGAAGCGTGACCTTGGCCTCCCCTCTCATCTTCTTTCTCCGAAGTGGTTATAACAATAAGAGTTTGGCAACTTTCCGATATCACCTCATATGCAAGGATGAATCAGAGAGTGCTCATGTGGGAGGGATCACGTTGTTCATGTCTGCTACAGGTACTACAGCAGTGATCAGGAATTATGCAACTTGTAGGGGATCATCTGAGATCGTCCTACAAAGCATCCATGTAGAAGAATGGGCCGCCCATCACCCAGCAATATGCAGGAAACTGTCAGGAGATCATACTCTGGAACATAGTTATAAGACATTTAGACCTGATAACTTGTGCTTTGTATGTTCAGGTGGTGATGTAGACCCTACAGAAATTGAAGATCTGTTTGAAGAGCTTGAAGATCTGAGTGATTCTGGCCCCGAGATCGACACAATGAGCATCTCATCAACACCTAAACCCTCACTCAGGCCATTCTTTTCCAGTAGTCGTTCACTGCTACAGGAAACACTCAGCGTGCCAGGTGAGACCTTGACTTCCATCTGCTTTACTGGATGTTTCTTTCAAGTAAGAAGATCTAATTTATTCCTGCTGTGTTTTGCATGGTGTAATGAAACCAGACACTTCTGAATTTTGTTACTGATAACTTTGTATGTACTATTTGGTGTACAGAACATAATCTGGCAGCTGCGTTTGTCATTCACCTTCATTTGTGTAAGTTTTTTTTTCTGAGGCGCAGTAGACATAAAACCAAGGATAATCTCAAACACGGGCCCATTAGTGCCAACATTATTGATTTTGGAATCATTGCAATTAAATATTAAATAAAGGAAAATGTTAAATCCAGGAATATTAAATGGAAGTCTCATTTGTAATTAGTATAAAACGAATTTCAACAGCTTTCTTTATAAGCTGATGTTACAAGTTGATTTTGGTTTTCCAAAAACTAAACACAAACTTCATCAAGCCTCTCTGGAAGCTGAGGACTGAGGATACTAATTGGTTCTGGCTCACCAAAAGCACCAGCAGAAACTTCAAGAAATGTCTGTGGTGACTGCTCAGAATATTGGTTGATTCGGTCTCCCCAGATGAACGTGATGCTCAAATGATGTACTACAATACCTCTGCTTTACAGAGAAAACATTTAAACTTTACACTGTATGGGAATCCATACAATATTCAATATCTAGTTGTCATGAAACAAATGCATACATTTGAATGTAAAAATGTTTCCTTCACTTGGCACTGATTATCCCCTCTCCAGAAGAAAAGAAGGGATAGGTAAATGATGTCAGGAATATAAGAAAGTAATCTTGTTGAATGAATTCTCTATGACATATATTTCCTCCCATATAGATAAAATGCAATTTTCGAACCCCCACTCTTCCCTTTTAATTTTGGAATTCTTCTGATCCCTACATCCCTCTCAGGCCAAGGTTTTATGTGCAGTTTATGTTCTCTTTTCGTTTTTGCCCCCTTTATGGTTTTTAAACAGTCTTGATTTGGAATACATTTTTAAATTCTGTATTTCAGCATCCTGTTGCACATCTTTAATTCATCGTCTGTGTATTTAGTCTCTCAGTAATGCAACAATAATTAATATGGTCACCATTATGTGAATGGTGAATATTTTAATGATTGTTGCATTATCAACGGACTGAATACATAGAGGAACAATTTTAAAATAAATATTGCTGCTGTTGCAAATTATTCCCCCAAAATGTATCTGACTATTTTCTCCCAGTGATATTTTGGAAATCACATGTAAATATTTGGCATGATATGGTCTGTAACCAAGACACTGTTTGTGATTATGAAGAGCTGTGTATTCTTGAGCTTCATCATATACAGCAGGTTCATTTTCAGATCTGACTACTGTTGCACCTGGCCGCATGACCAAAAAGAGCTCTTTTTGCAACTGTATAGAGGCCATCTAGCCTCTTGTATACTGATGTCCTCTTCGTTTAATTATAATTTGTTTGAAGTTACTTGTTGGTTTTGTAACCAAATAGAAAAATACAAAAATGATAATCAGAATTCACTCTTTGTTGATCACAGGTAGAGAGAACCAGAATGCAGGCCAGTTACAAGAACCTTTGTACCTTCCATGTATCATTGTATTCCTCTTTGTTAGTTACAGTGGCTTTTTGCATAAGCCTTGTATGTTGGAATTTAGATTAATTCTTTTACTTTATACACCTGGCAAAAAATAGTGCAATATAAGACATAATTATCCTTAATTTTCAGATTTGGAATGATCTGTGCAACACTGAAACAGTTTTCAGTGGTGATTTTCTGTCCTAAGAAATCCTACTATAACAGACAGTTTTGAGGTGTCCTTCTTCATATACACACTCCTTTTTAATGGAGTTACAAAACTGAATAACTTTGCTCTAATAATGAAAATTCATCCTGCCACTTGTTTTAATGAACACACAATCTGCACACAATAAGAAAGAATATTCTTTCTGAGAGATTTGTGATTCTTGGAGCAGTGAGTGTAAAGGTTGTTGGCTTCTGAGATGTGATGCCATGTAGTATAGTAGATTTGTACCAGTGCTTTAGAGTGCTGTGTTTGCTTGCATAATTTATGTACTTTGTTGCCCCCCAGAAAGACCATCTGAAACTCCTGGAGCATGAAGTATAGGGATATTACTTTCAGAGTATAATTGTGTATATTAGAGTCAGGTGATTACAGCTGAATGTGTAGTGAGAGCACAGTATGGACAACAAACTCTGCCATATGATGAAGCACTGAGATGCAGTTGAATACAGTGTGGCAGCCAAGTTTGAATATTTGTGGCAACAAACTCCACTACCACATGATTTGTTGTTTAATATAGACGAAAGGCCAGTGCATAAGTTTCGTGGTCAATGTGATTAAAGTTCCCCCAGCATGTTCCCATAATATGTTTGACTTTAATTTCATTTTTGCAAAAAGCATGTCTCATTTGAAATTTTCATTGATGGTAAAAGCACGGTACTTAATATTATCAGAAATTTCTTCTGTAAAAGTTGGGATGCCAAAACTGTGCAAGTACTTGTACATACTGTGGCGTATAGACACGTTTGTTAGGCAAAGACCTTGAAACATATGCAATAGTGCTATAAGCAAGCCTCTGCAACAATAGAGTTTCTGCTGAGAGCAGTGTTGTGGAACACATTGCTAGTCATCTGCAACAGTGGGACTAAACAATGGAAACGGGTGTTTTCTATGTGGTCCGTGCCAAGAAATCTCCCGTGTTGAGGTGGGTTTGAATACCTCCACCGTGGCTCTACAAGTCATAAATGGTGGCAGAAAGGGAACCCAGTGCTTGGGGGTAAAACTGGGCCACCCTGTTTGTTGGAGATATAAATACAGGTACCCGATCTCCAGGATGGGAGAGTCTTGAATCTGAGGCAGTAAAATGTGGTCATGAGTCCTGCGGGACTCAGACTTGAAAATGACTGTGCTGGCAAGGACCAGCTGCAGTTGTAAAAGACAGACACGTCCTTTCATCAGAGAGTATGTTACACAAGGACCATGTCCATAAGTGTTCAATTAAAATATTCTGGCCATGAATCTCAAGGGGCTTGTCGCCAAGATGAACTGATTGGCGTTAAAATGCTGGTCTTAAAGTAACTGAGGACACAATGTGTCAATGATCTGTAAAGTGTAATTATGAGCCATCTGGTAACATGGCCAATACATCCAAGATCCAATCAAAATCCTAAATCATGACATTACTGCTGCCTTCAAGTTGAAATTTTAGGCAGCAGATGTCTCACAAGTGTTGATAGTGATCTACTGGACAACATGGCATCACATTACAGAAAGCATTAACCTTCACATTGGAATTATAACCTAACCTATATGAACAGGTGCAATAGAAGTGTCAGTTTTGATGAGAGTTCTTTTGCTCCATGTTGTCTAAAATCTTTTCTTGTGACACTATCTACCAACTGTACCATAAACTCATCACTTGAAGTTCAGAAAAATTGTTCATCAGGCATGTGTAATATTCCTGTAAGAGCTGTGATTGTTCACATTGAATTTGTCTTTATTTAGAACGTTTGTGAGTTTGCTCTTGAATCTGATGTGGCTACAGACATGCATGTAATGGCAAGGCATTCAGAGAGACTGAGCAGCTTACACTGCAGTATTTGTTGTCCTGTTATGCGCATGTTTCAAAATATTTCTTTGCTCTCATTGTGCTTTAGAGTTATGCTAACACATTCACTGACAGGCAGATGTAACACCTTCGAAGCTATGCACAATATTTCTAAGTCAGAACTATTGATAAATAACTTCTTGTTCTTTTAATCATCCAAGTGCAAAGTCAGACTTAAAGACTGAATATGTGGTATTGTGCTGCTTGGTCAGGTTTGTGGCGCACCTCGGGGTGTGGTCATAAGTAAAGTAAAGCTATCCGTGTAACAGGCCATGGAGGCCCATAGGGTTGTGAGACATTGAGGCTCTCACATTTTCTCAACAGTCACCTCAGAGATGGTGGTGAGGTTGTCAGCCTCATGCATCAGCTACCCTTTACACCCAGGAAGATTCCTGGTACTTCTCATTTCTGTTAGAGGCTGAGTCAACCTCAGGGCCATAGCACTGCTGGAAGGAGTGGGTCATTTGAGAAATCCAATGACCTCATAGGGAATGGAACCCGCAACTTTGTGGCTTGTGTCATAGTACCTCGACAAAGTACACTACCATGTGCCCCTCCCACCTCCCCCTCCCAAGAAGGTGGTGATAACTGAGTGTATTGAGCAGTGGTAGAATGTTGATTAGCAGGAGAGAACTGAAAACTCAGAGTAACCCCCCCACCCCACCCCTGCTCTAGTACCACCCTTTACACCATGAATCTCACATGAAGTGACCCAGGGTCGAACTCAAAGCCCTAGGGCTAAGAAGCCAGCACCGGGCTGTAAGAATTGGGCATAGAATCATTTAGGAGAGTTCTGGCCTGAATTTGATTGATGTTTGAAAGAATCATGTTCCATCATCTGTAAGCAGTTAAAATAAATCTTTTTGGCAGTTGAAATTACAATCAGAGGGTGTTAATAGTAGAAGGTTCCTGTGAGTTGATACCACGGAAAGAGTTTAGAAACGTTCCATCCGCTTTATCTCTTTCATAGTCTCGGATGTTTTTACACCTTCCAATTGAAATTATTTTCCTATCATTAAGCTTTCTCAGGCAATAACCACATCAGTGTGAATTAACAATGCGAAATTGGGAGGTTATCACTAANTTCATTCATTCATCAGTAATCTGTCAGACGACAGGTCCACAGTCTCTTCCAAAACAGTTCGTCCACTTAATGCGATCTTCTGTTTTTGGAAAGAGACTATCCAGGAAAAGTGATAATGTGGTGTTTTTCCATTTGCTTTCCACATCGCAGTACAACAGCCGTTCAAACCACTCTGGTCACGCCTGTTGCTATAAGAACTTGAACCATCTCGAGCATCATTTGCTCTGTGCTTCAAGTCGCTGCTGATGACGCTGCTTCCGGCACCAGTTTTTGGTGTCTCTCTTCGTCTGATGCCTACCCTTTGACCTGTCCAGCAAGGGAGGCCCTGCCAGTAGCTACGCTACCGCTGGTATAGCTCTCAGGGTCCTTGGCATACTCAAACCCCTTCACCACGATAAGGTGAATTGGGATTGGGAATAAGGGGATTGGGAGGTTATCACTAAAATAATTCAGTCATGTACATTATTATTTTGGTTTGAAGGTGGTACAATTAATGATGCTGTCTGTATCTGGACAACAGGACATTGACTGCTAAGATGATCGAAGAATGATAAATTAAAAATGATTTTGAAGGAAGTGGCCATGGCCTAATTTGAGCTATTATCCTGTCATTTGCATGGAGGGCCTAGGAAATACCACAAGAAACCTGACTCAGGACTGTCAGAGCTCTGGTACCTCGCAGGATTACAAATCAGACGTGTTACCACTTGAACCAAGTTTCTGGGTTCTTTTAATCATATATTACACAAGGAATCTAGTTTCCTTATGGCGGAATAAGTATCTGATGAACCTGGAAGATTTCCTGGGCATGTGGTTGAAATTAAATCAGTTCTAGGTTAACAAGAAGCATACCTGCTGATTATTCCACAGAGTTCTGATGTCATCTGATTCAGAAAATTGCAATTAAATGAGGAAGTGGGTAAAACTTTTGCTAGATTCACATCCTCTGATTTGTTTGGCAGTGAATGTGTACACATGGATGTCTGCTTTTGTGAAGGAATGTTCTTGTCTTTATTGCCTTGCTGATGTCAGTTTTTTTATACAAAGTTTTGCCATTCCCATGTCTTACATTTGTTACTCATTTTATCAGTTCTGAATTATTCTTATAACAAATTAACTTCATGGAGCTGAGCCCTTCTTGAGAAGCCATCAGTTGTGCTGCTCTTGAGAACTTCCCATCAATTTATGGAACCTGAAGATTCATTACCCTGTTCACAAGACCCCTCCACTGGTCTCTATCCTGAGTCAGATTGATCCAGTCTAGAAATTCTATGGAAATATTGTACAGTACTTCATTCCTAATTGAATCATAGGCATTCTTGAAGGCCATGAATGGCCAATGTACTGTCTCATTGTGCTCCCATTCAAGCTCTCCACTGCAGTTTTAAAAAAAAAAGTCTGTTGGTAGATAAATGATTTATGAGGTGACATTTGTTTCTAAATTTTATATAGATTTCATAGCTGTTTTGTATTTATCTTAAATTTTCATGTGTTTATATAACGACTATCTCCAGCTTGTTTTATCTATTTTTGCACTTATGTAGCATCATAATTTAACAAAGAGTCAGTCTATATATGTTTTAGCGATAATCTATTTGTGTTTAAAATATAAAATTAAGAAATACCTCATTAGCTCTGAGTGCACGTTTTCTGCATGTTGTAATGCATGAAAATTCATTACAGTTTTGAACATGACTTCCCACTGGACTGTATTCTGAGCCACTTTAATCCAGTTCACATCTTACATCACATTTTCTCCCTACATCATCTCTCTTTCCATAAATTCATATTTTAGGTTCTCTTCAACATGCACTAATACAGTTCTTATTACATATTACAAGCTTACTACATTCACAGAGAAACTTGTTTGGAGTATTGAGAAATGTGTACAGTGAATACAGGACTTTTGACAGAAAATCTCTGCCTCTTTTTAGAATTGAATAATGTTGACTGCTCTTTATATTATTGAACTCTTTCATGTGCATGTTTCTTATCACTCGATGTGATAACAAAATCAACCAATATTGAGCTTAATAACTTTGTCAGTTCGTACAGTGTTTTAACCCTTTAATGCTCATAACACTGATCCTGAAAAATTGTATCATATACAGTGCAACTGGCTGTCAGTCAGATTCAAGTGTTTCTCTGTCACATATCTAAGAGATAATTAAAGGTAAAAAGGTAAAGTTTTTCCTGTGCTTAACTAATTAAGCACCACGCCATGAAGCTGTATGGGGGATTGGGTGTATAGGTCCACATTTTCTCGATCTCGGCACTAGTTGAAGGTGAGCAGTCATCTTCACACCCTGACCACTTTACCCCCAATACCCACTGTATGGAAGGCTGGGTGGGCCCCAGAGACAGTCTGGATGACATGGAGAAGAGAAAATTTTTGACCCCACCAGGACTCAAACTCCAACCCATTGGTCATCCCGCCCATATCCAGTCGCTCTACCAACTGCACTATCCCAGCTCCCATATAAGAGATAATTATAATACTAAATTGTGACATCTTTTGGCTATATTTCAGCCTACTAGGTCAAAGTTTCCTACAGTAGATAATGCCAGTTCTTGCAAACACATTGTCAGATGCAACTAAAATGTGTGCATTTTGCTTTGAACTTATTTTATGCATAGTACATAGCAGAGGTGTGGGAAACTTTAATCTCACTCAGCCCATCTTTTGAACAGACTCTGAGTGCAATGCCATTCTGAAGTGCAGGCAGTTGTGATATAAGTACACTTATTTTGATGTGCTAGTCAAATGCTGCAAAAGTATGCCCCAGGAAGGTAAGCAGTATGGTGAGTGACCCAAACTTTAATGCACTCAATATACAGAACATGTCTGTATGCCTCTAGGTAACTGCTGATACTCAGAAACAAGGATTCACTCTCCCCCAACCCTCTTCACTACTACAGCCTGTGTGCATTGAAACTGTAGCATTGATGCAAAAACCGTTTGAATATAGTAATTTGTTTGTGCCATGTTCTTTATTGTGACAGAATGTTGTTGCCTGTTGTATTGTGCTGTTCTGTGTTGTGTTTGTTAGTGACTTGATGACTTAGTTATTGTTACATGCAGGCGGCCCGCAAGGCTACGCACGTGTCTGCCTGCCCCAAGATAGCCCGCACGCACAGCAACCTTACTGCACAGGTTAGACAACTGTTGTTCAGTGCATGTTGATAGTGTTACTTCCCGAGATGTAACTTGTGTTCATGTTGCACAAACATTCGAGAGTATCTTAAAAGCACTTCTGGTTTGTAAACATGCAGGGAATCCAGAATACCGAAACAGTTCCTATCAACAGAGCATACAGTTTTACTGTAGTCATGGTTGTTCCCTTTCTGTAATAGCACATTTGATTTATGCTTAGGGTTGCTCACTAAATGATTTGTTCCCGTATTATCATTGACACTGTAATAGTTTGATGAGGTTGGTGCAGCTGTAACGTTCTAGACTTGTGTTGTGAAGGTCCTTGGTTTGAATCTTAGCCAGGACAGCAGCTGTTCCAAGCTTTCCACGGTTCTCCACAGTCTGTCTAGGCAAATTCCAAGATTTCAGTCTAATATCGGTACCGCTTTTGTTGTGTTTGCTTCCCCCGCTAACTCTGAATTGATTCATATCAAACAGATAATAGGGATAACACATGCAATACAGCGACTGGCTACAGGCTGTACTACCAAGGGGTTGAAGTTGAGGTCCCAGTAGGGTCAAGAATTTTCTCTTCACCACATCATCCAGACCGGTTCTGGGGCCCACCCAGCTTCCTATCCAAAGGGTATGGGGCGCTCTTTCCCTGGGACAAAGCCTGGGCATGAAGCTGAGCCCTCACCTCCAACTAGTGCTGAGGTTGAGAAAATGTAGATCTATAAATCCACTCTCCCCTGTGTCTTCATGTCATAGTGCTTAATTAGTTAAGCACAGGGACAACTTTCCTTTTTAACTTTTCGAGTGCCATGTGAGTATGCAAAAACATGAAAGGTTAACCTGAAGCACCAAGTAGAATTGCTCAAGGGTTGATGCTTCTGAATAGTATCAAGGAAGTGCTTAGTTCAGCTCTTCTGTGAGACATAGGCTATCCTCACTGAGCATTTCTTAGTTTTTCTCAGTCCCTCCAGACAAATGCCAGAATGGCACCTCAAATAAGGCCATAGCAGCTTCCTTCCACATCCTTTCTAATTCATCACTCACTGAACATCCTATTGGATGTGAGGGTTTCACAGCAGTGAGTACTATTTGCATTGTGTTCTGGACAATAACACCATGTGGTTCAGAGGAGAGCCCAGTGGTTTGGAGGAACACACCACTTTCATCTTGATAATTGAAGAGTAAACCAAGGAAGAAAGCAGTTAATGTGGACATCAAGCTGAACTGAGTTTGCCACCTGCTTCTGTTGGCCCAAAATATCTGGCTGTCTCCAAACAGTCCAAACAATCATAGTTCAATGCTCTGTAGCCTGAGATGTTGACAGCAGCATAGAGTAAACCATAGTCATAAACAATCTTCTACTCTTATTGATCATTTGTCATCATATGTTATGTTAGATCTGCTATGTTATTCAGAACAGTGGAACTGTTTGGGTAATTTTGGAATTCCTCTTGTATAGGCTGGGTATGCACTCTTGTGTTGTTGTCATACATTCATCAGAGTAGTTGAATGGAATGCCGCATCAGATTTCTATAATTCATAAAGGCGGTGATGTCATGTGTAATTGTATATCAGGAAATATGCCACATTGGTCTGGAGTATGTGCTGTAGCTTCATCCTGAATTTAGTGCATTTTAAAAGCCAGATTATAAAATCTCTGGCCCATATCTTGTCACTCTAATTGTTTGATTAACTGCCACTGTATGCCTCATGTTGGATGACAAGCTGGTGTGGGCCTGATCAAAAGGGAAGGTAACAGGTAACATAATTACATGCAGAATTGTTTATGACTAGTACAAATCAAATTCTTGTGATGGAGTGTGAATTACAGGGCAGCATATATTCAGATCAATGAGGTGTTTCTATTGTATTTGTATACGGTGTGCCCCTGCATTAAGGGTGTTTCAGCTGTGGAATTTCATCCTTAAGGAACTTACAAGATATGGCCATAAAATGCGTGGTTTGGACAAGAAATTTGCCCTTACACAAATCTGTTATAAATAAATGTGAAAAAACAAAGTCAACCAAAATTAATTCTTTTTTAAGAAATGGCTGTTTATTACAAAATCCAGATCAGATATGCTCATGGATCAGTGACAAAGAATATGTAGCAAATGATTGGATAGTCCGCATGCAACATTGACATAAGGGGATTGCTGTTGGCATGATTGCTATTCCCATCTTATCTTGCATTGTGCAGAGCATCCTTAACTGAGATGTCTGGAAAGAGGCCATCAAGTTCTTGTACAAGCAGTTCCTCCTCCTCCTCCCCCCCTCTTTTTTTTTAAGTTCTGTGTGTCTGTTGTTATTTCTAATGGTTAAAGATGTGTACTCTTATTACCTTTGGACCAAGAACATTCTTATAGAAACAAATCTCCACTTATAATATGAGATTCATAAGAAAAATAAAATTTTAATCTCAGAATATCGCAACACAGACACCTTCTCAAGAAATCATCCCTCCTTCAAACTGGGCACATTCTGTACTGTGCATGATATACAGTAATTTAAACTCCAGGGATGAAATAGTTGCCTGTGCTTGAATTGTATCCAAGTACTAGCACAGAAATAGTAAGTAGTGGCCAGGTCTAAAATAATAGCCAAGGGCATTAGCACAGAAATCATACATACACTCGATTTATGACAGTTTTTTCTAAGACAAAAGTCTCAGGTGATGTTGCATAAATCTAGCATTTTTTTCTCTCTTCTATCCTTGCATGACTCTGCTACAACTCACACAATGTGCTGCTTACCCCTCGTCAGGTAGCCAGCTTCCAGCACAGAAATTGTAAATCATGGCCAGGCCTGAAACAGCAGCTGGGTACTGGCACAGAGCCTTGCTCAGTGGGCCAGCTTCCCTGCTGTAACAATACATGCAAGCAGCTGAACTTGCTTTAATGATAAATGGAAAGACAGAGACCCTGTCAACTCTTCTGCTATGCAGGTATTTTTTAGCTTCTGTTCATATGACTTGACCTGCAAGTGACTCACTCTCATACATACTGTTTTGTATTTGCTCCATGCAAGAACTCATGAGCCACGGAAACAGCCATTGCTAGGTAATACACGCAACAACATAGGAAGCCATGTTTTCTATGTGGTCTGCAATATGCAAGAGTACAGAGCTGTGTTCTCTCTGTGGTCTGGGCCACGCAAAAATACAGTGCTATGTTTTCTGTGCCTGATCCATGCCAAGAGGGTATAAGATCAGAGTTCAGTTGAGAGAATTGGACTACTGTGAGTTGTCAGTAGGACATAGCCATGGAAGGTTCACAGTTGAAGAAGAATTAGAAGTTGGCCTGTGAAGACTTAGTATGTGATATAAAGACTTTACATGTGCTGTAATACAGTGATATTGAGCATGTATAATTTAGTGAGACTTTTATAGTTCCTCTGTTATAAATCTGTGAAGACTAGTGGAGATAGACTGAGAAGATTAGCGTGGAGAGATTTGTAAC